CCAAACTGGTTTTTAGAAAGAATAATGCTACTCAAGGTAGCACTTATTGGGAGGTCGAGCCACTGGCGTATGTATTTGGATACGAGGCTGTCAAGATTCTCGACAACCCACGTCTTTGAAAGAACTGCTACAGTAAGGTTCCAAGAGATTTTAGAAAGAACAAAGTTGTGATAAAGAAGCAACTTATTTTTTGCATGTAGAGGCTGGGGATCAATTTGTTTGAGCATGTTGGACAGTGATGATAAAAGATTAGATTTATGTTCTTGGTTTGTCATTTCAAAGTCAAAATGATGACCGAGGTACTTAAAAGAATTTCCATTCGAGACAGGTGGTATAGATTCGTTGTTTATGAAAAGCTTAGGTTGATACTGAAGAGAACGTGTGGAAAATTTCTTTATTCCAAAAGTGATGTATTTATCAACACGTATGATCATGTTAGCCCATTGGCACCAGCGAGTGAAACAATTCAGTAGAAGTTGGTTTCCTTTCTTATTGCTGGTGATAACAGCAGCATCGTCTGCGAATTGAAACCAATGGACTGGTTGAAACATACAGTCGTTCTGATCATGTGGGGAGAAACCTAACTGTTTGTATTTTTCAGCTTTTATGTACTGTATGAATGTGTTGAAGCATAGATTAAATAGTAGAGGACTGAGGCAGTCGCCTTGAAGAACACCGCGGCGGACTGGAATAGCAGGAGTATTATAGTGGCTTGTGATGATAGAGGTTTTAAAATCGGTGTAAAGGCTAGAGATAAGAAGTTGTATGTTGTCAGGGATATGATGGTAAGATAGTACAGTGGGTATCAAATTATGATGTACTTCTCCAAATGCATTTTTAAGATCGAGAAGAGTGACAACTAGTGAGCGTTGCTTGATACGAGCTTTGTTTATGACCTGAGCCATCATGGCAGTATGCTCTAAGGTCCCTGAAATATTCGAGGTGAAGGCTTTTTGTATTTCGTGCTCAATGAGACCATTAACTTTAAGAAAGTTGAATAGACTGTCACGCAGGCATGATGTGAAGATTTTCAAAGGCAGTGGCTCAAGAGTGATTGGCCTGAAGTTTGCTGGATCGTCATTGCTACCCTTTTTGTGAATTAGGATAGTACATGCCTTTTTCCACTCTAAAGGAACTTTTCAGAGAGCGAGATATTATGAATGATATTTGTTATCAAAGAGCGTGAATATGGACATCGTTTAGAAACAATGATGGAAATTTTGTCACGGGGACATGGACTGGCTGAAGATTTCATACGCCGAATTACTGATGTGATCTTTTCATAAGAAAGAGGCTCCAAAGGAAAAGGGTGGTCAGGCTCCCTAAGAGATGGAATCCATGAAGGATTAGAAAAGTTTTTTTATGGCAACAGAGAAGAAAACATTTTAAAGAAATACTGAGAGCATTGATCTTTGGAAAAGGATAGCAGCAGAGTCGAGCTTGTTTAGAGAACGTGTTTGATGTATCCCCAAAAACTGTTTGAAATGAAGTTATCATGATTTGAGATGTTTTTAACTACGGTAGAAGCAGATGAGTTAAGTCGTTGTCGTAAGAGCTGTGAAACGTATTTAATATTCAATGACAGTCGCGCTGTTTCTTTTCAATAACTGTAGTTCTTTTTTCAATTTTTTGGTAGCATGGTCTTGATATTTTGCAGCAAGTTCTTCATTTACTTCTTCGACAAATCCGCAAGTATCTCTGAAATAATTATAAATTGCTTATAGTAATAATAATAATTGTGATGGAACTGAGAATAATGGAATGTTGATGATAGTAATGGTGATGATGATGATATGGTGAGGGTTGTGAGGGCGGCGTGATATTTTTTTGTAAAGTAAACAGTCAGTGGTTCTGTTCATGCCGCTGGGGGTAAGGGTGTTCGCCAGGCCAATGAGATATTGCTCCTTAGCTCGACGAATACTCTCTCGTTTGTCATCAAGTCTAAGTAGTGGTGTGATGGCAAGGTCGTGGATGGTGTGTGCTGGGCTGCAGAAATGTTCTGCAACACCAGACTTGTCTTCTTTTTTGTTGATAATGTCTCGTCGGTGTTTGTTAAATCTGTCTTTAAGTCGTCTGCTAGGTTGTCCAATGTATTGGCAGTTTTTATTTCCGTTATGTAGACAGCGTTTGCATTGTAATGCGTATATGACATTGGTGGAGTTGCAGTCCAGTCATTGTTTTATGTCGTAGTTTTTGTCAGTGTTGGAAAAATTAAATGTTGTAATACCGTCTGTGATATGTTGGCATGTTAAACAGTTAAGCCCCGTTCAAACGATCTCGACGTTTCACTTGACTTATTCTAGATTTTTGTCAACAGTAAAAGTCAAGAGCGTTTGAACACCTTGTTGAGAGCAGTCGAGCGAAGTCAAGAGCAGTCGAGAGCAGTCGAGCGAAGTTTGAACACGTTTAAAAAAGTCGAGCGGAGTCACACAACATTCCTATTGTTCAAGGTGTTGTTCAGCGTTGTCGAGAGCGTTTGAACACCTTGCTCAACAAAGTCGAGCGTGCGCATGCGTTCTTCTGATTTTCTGATTTTGCCCGCCAAAACACAAAACAGCGAAGTTCGTATTGTTGCAATCGAAATGGAGGACGAATCATTCACAGTTTACAGCATTCTCTCTCTGCCTTCTCAAGAAATCAGTTTAGGAGAAAATGACAGTGAAAATGGCAATGACAGGCTGGAGGATCTTGACGAGAGGCCAAAAACTGTCCTCCTCCAGCTGTTGAACAAATCAAAACAAAAAACGAAAGCCTCTTGCGAAATTTGGAAGAAATCACCAAAGACTGAGTCGAAAGGGAAAAATGGACTCAACGAAGTGCCAAGTTGTCAGTATGCTTTCACAGCATCTTGCCACTTCACATAATCGGACGAAATCGAGTGAAAAGTTGAGATCGTTTGAACAACCCCCGCTCGACTACACTCAACACTGCTTGACAACGCTCAACAAAAATCAAGAGTAGTCGAGTGAAAGTCGAGAGCGTTTGAACAAGGCTTTACGTCGCGAGTGGCATTTGTATGAACCTATGGGATCGCTGGGTGTGGCATTTTTAATTTTGACACGAACCAGTAAATCCCAGAGGTTTTTCGGTCTGCGGTAACTAAGTATGGGTGCGTCTGGGAAGGCTTCTTTACATGTGTAAGAGTTTGGTAGTATGTCAAGGTTTTGTTTGAGTATGGTGGATAGCTGCGGCAAAGCTGGGTGGTAAGTAACAACAAATGGCGTGCAATGATTAGTGCGTGGTTTGGTGGTCTTGAGGCAGTCTTGTCTGGTTTTCTTAGCAGCCTTCTGTATTTGTTTGTTTGTCTGTTTGGGTTTGTAACCCGGTTTTGTCAAGTATTGCAGTAGTTGTCTCGTGCGATATTTGAACGTTTCGTCTTCGGAGCAGATCCTTCATAGTTTAGGGCAAGACTGTATGGAATGGATTGTTTGGTGTGTTTGGGGTGTGCGGAGGTGCTGAGGAGATATTGGTGTGTATCCGTGGGTTTAACATAGAGATCTGTAGAGAGGGTATTATCATTATTGATGGAAATAGTGACGTCAAGAAAATGTATGGATTTTTTGCATTGTTCTGTGGTGAATTTGATGGTGGGATGGGTGTTGTTGAGTGTATTGATGAAGTTGGTGAGTTTGTCTTGTCCGTGTGTCCAAATCATAAAAATGTCGTCGATGAAACGCCACCACACAAGAGGCTTGTGTGGGGCTATGTCAAGGACTCCTATAAAGATATTGGCGTAGGGTGGTGCCATTCTTGTACCCATCGCTGTGCCATGTTTTTATAGAAAAAAGTTTCCGTTGAACTCAAAGTTGTTATTTGTCAGTATAATGTTGATGAGGTCGCAAACAGTTTCTGTAGGGGGAGTTTTGGAGGTGCGTTTGTCAAGGTGTAACCTGGCAGCTTGGATACCTTCTGTGTGAGGGATGTTGGTGTATAAGGATGATACATCAAGGGTGACAAGGAGAGAGTCGTTGGGAAGTGTGGAGATGGAGTCGAGTTTGTTAAGAAAATGTGTGGTGTCTTTGATGTAAGATGGCAGTTGACCAGTGGGTTTAGGATGTTGCTGATGTATTCTGAGATGTGCTCTGTAGGATGGCCATTAGCTGAATGTAGAATCTGGAGCATGTTGGTTGTTTGGGTGATAGGAAGGTAAATGTTTCTTCGTTAATGTGGTTGTCTTTTTTCATCAGTCGTAAGTAATTGGTCACTTTTCTCGTAACTTTGTTGGTTGTATCTTTGTCTTGTTTTATGTAAAAAGTCTTGTCGCTCAGTTGTCTGTTGCATTTGTTAATGTAAAACTGCGTGTCCATGACTATGACTCCTGACCCTTTGTCCGCGGGTTTGATGACAATGTCAGTGCGTCTGGTAAGGTTTTTCAGTACGTTCCATTCCGTGTTAGAGAGGTTATCTGTTATTTTAGTCGGCTGTATGTTTTTAATGTCGTTGTCGATTTTGTTGATGAATGTGTCTAAAGCCGGATCTAAGCCTCGTGAGGGTGTCCAGTTGCTTTTCTTTTTGTATACAGTGGTCGTATTGTTGCCAGAAGAGTTTCCATGTTCTATGTCTTTATTCTTGTCTTTGTCGTTGTTGTGGAAGTAATGTTTTAGTCGTAGTCTGCGTTTGAATTCAGTCAGATCTGCATTGAGTTCGTTCCAGTCTATGTTTTGTGGGGTGGGGCAAAAGTTGAGTCCTCTTGACAGTAATGTAAGTTCGTCATTGGTGAGGGGGGAAGTCGAGAGGTTTAGAACAGTGTTGGTTTCAAGTGGTTGTGTCTTTTGTTTTGAATGTGTTTTTCTCTTGGCTCGTCTCGTGAATGATGATGGTGATGGTGATGGTGATGGTGATGGTGATGGTGATGATGATGATGATGATGATGATGATGATGTTAATGATGATGGTGATGATGATGATGATGGTGATGTTGATGAATGTAGCGATGGTGATGTAAGTGGGGGTGAAGGTGATAATGATGGGGGTACTGGTAGTCGTGAAAGTGACGTTACATGTCATCTCTGGAACGGGTTTGAATATAATATCGAAAAAGTCAGGCGTTATTTTTTGAAAAATTTTAACTTGGTAAAAGGAAGTTTAAGGTTCTTTTTCACAAAAGGGAACTAATAATTAGAACATCTATTTGAAAGGTAGAAATGATATGGTTTTCGTAAAAATTTTTCACTATGTTCAAATCTGAGTGTATAAGCATGACAAAATCAAACAAGCAAACAGGTTATCAAGATAAAGCAGGTGAAGGACATTTTCCTCGTGGATGACCCTTCATGGGTTGATGACATTTGCAACAAGTGCTTGTGCAGTGTTTCTTTTTGCTATTCGTCTGTTGCTGCTCATCCTCTTTAAGTTTGTATTGCTGGTTTGCTGTAAACATATTGTTAAAATTATTGCATTCATGTGGGAAATACAAGTTAAAATACCTAAATATTTTCTTATATTGCATTCTTTTATAAGTTTTTCTAGGATACTATGCGAGGTTCTATGTTTATTACCCCAATAAAGAGTTATGCTCCAAATGTCACAATTATATTCAACTTTCAAATGTACAAAGTTGTTGTTTAATTATATATATTTTTTGCTATTATTCATGGACATGCAACACCCATGTCCATTTTATCTATTTAATTCCTATAAATTTATTCTTATTGCATATCTATTTAAGTCCTAAAAAAATGAACACTAGTATCAATACAATCAAATTTGGTAAAAACAATTTCTATACCGTATGCCTAACTATCATTGCTGTGTTCCTAGATGCGAAAATGATTCAAGATATCAAAGTAACTTGTCATTTCACTGTTTTCCGAAGAATGAGGCAACCAGAAAGGTGTGGATTGCAAAAATTCGAAGAGACCCCGGACGTGCTTTCAGCATTACAAACCACGCGGTCGTGTGCTCGGCCCATTTTAGGCTGAAAGAGTTGAAGACGTCTCAAGCAGGAAAGAGATCACTGAAAAGTGGTGCTGTACCCACAATTTTTTCATGGCAGGAAGAAAAAACGAAAAGGAAGTCTCCACAGAAGAGGAAACTTTTGGTGAAGACGGACTATGGAGCTGTCCGTTACGAAGAAAACGAAGCCACCGCTGCGGCCTGCTCAGAGGGTGATGATCGGACAGAGGAGCAACTTTCCCTGGAGGAAAAACACGAAAAAGCTTTGAAGAGAGTTCAGGAACTTACAAAAGAGGTCGAAAAACTGAAAATGGAACGATTTGGACTTTATAGATATGCAGCTAATGATGCAATGATTTGCTTTTATACTGGCTTCCAAAGTAACCAGTTGTTGAGACAGTTTATTCTTGTCATTCGCCCAACTGCCCTTAAGATGACAACTTGGCAGCAAGTCCAGAGACAAAGGTTATCTGGCAAGGCAGTTACAAAGAGCACTGATTTTTCGCAACATGCATCATGTTTAGAAGATCAGCTGTTTCTTTTCCTCTGTAAACTGAGGCTTGGCTCATTTAATCAAGAACTTGCAGACCGTTTTAACACCTCAACATCTACTGTGAGTAGGTACATTATAACTTGGGCCAATTACTTACACTTCTTTCTTGGGGCAATACCAATTTGGCCTTCAAGAAAAAAGATTGATCAGCATGTGCCAACCTTTTTCAAAGAGCAATATCCTGCTACAAGAGTTATTTTGGACTGTAGTGAAATCAGATCACAATCTCCATCAAGTCTGGTCCTACAGTCGGAATTATATTCCAATTACAAGGGCCACACAACTTACAAAGGGTTAATTGCAATATCCCCAACAGGGGCTGTGACCTTTGTTTCACATTTATACACTGGAGGAATTTCAGACAAGGAAATTACTTCTGTGAGTGGAATTTTACATTTGTTGGAGGAAAATGACTCTGTCATGGCTGACAAAGGCTTTGAGATAGAAGATCTTTTGGTTAAATACAAGGCAACTCTAAATATTCCACCATTCATGAACCCTACAGGGCAGTTTTCAAGTGATGAGGTGGAGAAAACTCAGTCAATTGCAAGGTTGCGTATTCATGTGGAAAGGGCTATAAGGAGAGTGAAGGAAAATCATCTTTTTGACAAGGTTCTACCTTTAAATATAGCAGGGACAACAAACCAACTCTGGACAATTGCATGTCTGCTTACAAACTTTAGAGGGGACTTGTTTTGAAAAAGCATTTTTATAGTCATGTTCCTATATCAACATAAAATTAAGAGCACTACAGTAATAACCTTAAAATTAAAATTTTTTCAATTTAAATTTTTGTTAACAATGGCTGGCAAAAAGTATTCAAAGTAAAATTTATCAACTTTTGATATAACATTTAAAAAAGTTGTTTCATCAAAGTGAATTCTTTCAACAAAGTGGTCTTCTGGGCACCAACCATAAAATCACACCACTTCAGGCCCGTTATCCCAAGCTGACCAATTACTTGGTAGTAGTACTCATGACAATCATTGAGGTGTATCTTGCCATCCTTTTTTTTCAGGTATGGTACTTCTGTGATTGTTTGTTTATCAGGGCACTTTATTTCAAGAAGACCGAAACATGGGTCTTCAGCTGGATCATATACTTTATAATGAGGTGAAGTCCCTAAGTATGGTATTCCCCAGTTTATACAAAAACCAGCTCTGTAGAGATTGACTCCCCTGTTATTCATATATGCAGAAGCAGCCATTTTCTCTCACAAGCAATGCCTCTTCTCATCGCAGCTGTTTGTATATTTTTTGTACTTACTAAATCCAAAGCAAGTTTTGCAAAATTATCACGACGTGAAACAATCCGTTTGAACTTAGTTGATGTTATTCTACTGCATCTCATTTCATGCCATAAAGGAGTAACTGATTGCTCTCTGGTCTCATTTTCAATTGAAATAGCTTCCTCTTCGGTCACAATGTTCTTTTCAAAAATTTCTATGCTATTTCTGTCAAACACAGTCGAGTAGACTCTACTTAGAGAATACAACGGAATGGCTGGGAAGGTAGGTGTATCTTTAAGCTTGCAAAAGTTGTCAACTTCCTTCAGTGGAAAATGGTAACTGATAACTGAGCCTTTGGGTAGCATTCCATAAGAAGATGAAACTAGGTTATCTTCCTGATCTGCATCCAGAATGTAGGAAAACTGTGTTTTTGGGCCACTTGCAAAGGATTTTTTAAAGTCTGCAATAAATTTTTTTGCAGAATAATCTTCATCTTGCAAAGGGTTATACACAGTGGGCTCAATGCATATGGAGTTGTCTCTTTCTTTTGTCCTCTTGTCTTCAATTTTATCTCCTAAAAATGAAATTTAATTTCATCACTTTCAAAGCTTTAAAAGACTCAAATTTGAAGAAACAGATTTGAGCACACAAAGGTTACTTCCTTTAAGCAGTAAAACAGGTTGGGTTGTTGATTAAAATTGCCCTAACATTTAACAGAGTCCTAGAAATTAAAAGAGATAAACAATAAATAAATCCTAGATTCATATTAAACTTGAAAAATATATAAAAGAATTGATACAGAAAATTTAGACTCTTGTCTTTGGGGAGCTAGTTCTCTAAAATAAACCCAGCTGGATAGCAAAAAGTAATCCAGCATGACAAACAGGCTTTGAAAGAATTTAAGGACCTATTTGCAAGTTGAAATAAAATTAATCATACACAAAATAAAACAAACCATTTGACTGAAGTTTCTTCTTTGCAAATTTCACAGGCTTTTGAATCTGCAGAGAAGAAATTGGCTCAGGATTTATATCTTTCGTTCTTGGCTTGTGCCAAGTTTGAGGTAATGATGTTTTGGAAACATTATTTGGCAAAACCTGCAATGTATAAAAAAATAATCTAAAGGTACTTGAGAGCAAGAAGAAATATGTATCACAAAGCTAAAAAAGAAGACATTATTGCAGATTTTGTTTCATAAACATGTACAGATTAATACTAAATTCATGTTTTGCATTAAAGCAACTTTAAAGTATTATGCTCTAAAACATAGCTTGATAAAAAATATTTTTGACTAATTGAAGTTGTGAGCCAAGGAACGAAAATAACAAATTGATTAAAACCAAGGGAAAGGTAGGAACACAATCATTTACACGGAGAATAAGATCTACATGCACCTTAGAGTGAACAGCCAAAAGACCCACCCAAATGTTAACTAAACATGGAAACATACCTTTAATCCTAGGGATTTGTAGTGGACAATCTGGAACAAAAAGGCAGACTTGTGATTGCAAACCCCTTGCATGTGCAACTTAATGCGTCTACATGCACTTTCCCGGCATCTGAGGAAAGGAGAACAGCCAAAGAATGCGGTTTTTCACTTTTTCTCATCGAATGGTAGCACTTGCTCACTATTTTGCATTGCGTGATTTCGGTTGTTTCATTGATTCTTTTCACTGAAACATAAAGAAAAAGATGTCAAGAAACTGTAACTCATACTACAGAGAGGTAAATAATCAAAATATAAATGAATCAATGTAGTAAATTGTACAATAGTATTGATACCAACCCTTTATGTTGTGGATGTATCCTTCCGTAAAGAATTGGTACCCTCTCTCTTTGATTTTCTGTGGTACCTTCCCTAAAAATTTATACACATCCTCATATGAAATGTTAGGCACGGACACAAGACTTCTAGTCCACGACGACTGCGAGCCCGAAGCACTTTGCTGCTCAGCAACATCACAGAATAGAAATGACCAGAAGGGTCACTCGTGTCGGCATCCTTTGTTGCAAGTTCACTCGATTTTTTCTGGCGCCGCGCTGTCTGTACATACAGTTCTCGTTTTCAACCGTCATGAAAGGAGGCTAGTAGTCTAGGATGTTGCACAATCGAAGGCGTGTTGAAGCAAATTTCAAAACAAGCTCCCTTGAATATCACTGGGGCTGCACTTCATACCATCATGAAGCAAAAGGAGAGTGAATAAAATCACAGAGGCGCTTAGTTCGTTATGAATCGTGAGTTTGGAAACAACATTTAAATTCCCTGTTAGCTAATAATCAATACTACAGACTTCCTACTACAGTTGTGAGATGCGAGACCACCATTGATAGCAGTATTTTCCGGTTATAAAGCAATATATACAGGGCAAGATACTAGTTTAATTCTGGTTCAGATCGTTGAATTTGGTTTCCTAGTCCCATCTCACATTATTGTGTTGTTTTTCATTGATGTGCTTTGTTCGTGCTTATTGTTTGACATACTATCCTCGTTTTGGTGACGCATGCGCGAAAAAACTCACGCTGAATCGATTGGCAAAGAGTGACCCTTCTGGTCATTTCTATTCTGTGGCAACATGCTGTTTTTCTTGTTCTTCTGGTGCTTGATTATCACGATCCGCCATTGTATCTGAAGCTCGAAAGATTTCTTGCCCTGGTGGCCTTGTTTTCATAGTAAGCGGCGCAAGGGTGAGATGGGTGTATTAGACATTCAACAATTAGAAATACAATGAACACAATATTCCAATGTTCTGCTTACTATATGTTGGTGGAACAGCTACTTCTTTGACTACTTCTTCTCCAAGCTTGAATTTTGGGTACACAACATTGTATTGAAGTGAACCATCTTGCAATTGGTTTTGCTGTCTCAAAACATTCTCATTGAAATGACAAATGGCAAGAATATGCCTGAAATGACAAATGACAAGCTATCAAATTAGATATTTCACTGAAATTCAAAGAATCATATGACTCAAAAGTAAATACATATGAAGAAATAGAAGAATACACAGAAGAACAATTTTTGTAAATATGTTAAAATATCCAGCTCTGTTTTAGGTAGATTATTAGGTAATGCATTCTTGAATGATTTTTTCCTTGAATGACAATGAAAAGTTGAAAAAATTGATAGAGACTTTGAAATTTATGAGGAATAGTTGACATATTTCATTAATACCTGCACTTTGTACCAAGCCAAGAAAAGTGTACCATTTTTGGGTGCGATTGGTTTAAGAGGGAATGAAATGCTTCCAGACAGCTGGTTTGTGCATCACTTGAAAGTTTGCGTACATCCTCAATTACTTGATGGTTCAGAATGATTGTTTTCAGACGGTCATATGGCTGAGTTCCTGTGGAGAATTAGAAAATATTTGGTGAATGTTGTATAAATTTCATTTATTTGCAATATGATTAATTAACTAGTGTGTGCATAAAACACTTAGAAGTTCCTTTAATTAAAATTAAACATTCGAAGAACCTTTTCAAAAAAGAGATGTTTGCAAAAAAGATTAATATATAAACATACCAACATAAATCCAATCCCGTGCCTCTAGTTCATCATGAGCACATTCCTTGTAGATTTCATTAGGATGATTATCATGCTTGTCAGCAACATGCCTGATCAAAGACGTCCACTTTGCGACAATGAGATTACCAAAGCCTTGCTGTGTTGAAGTGGCCGACCAGTACAGGTGCTTCTTTATTGCCTTCATCCAACGTAATAAAATTTCGTTTCCTTTCTCCTGTCCCACAGTTCTAATCTTCTTAGAAATGCCTTTGCAGACATGCCAAAGATCATAGAAATGTGTTGTTTGTGGTTCACATTCACGAATCCATTTGGCAATGGTTCTGTGGCGGTCACTGACAAATATGGATATGTTTAAATTGTTATCCTTAATAAACTTGAATGCACGCTGTGCCCCAATGCCTCCATGTTGTTACTACTACCAGCTTGGTTTGACTGGAAATAAATAGGATTCAAACTTAATTATTCTTATCAACTTCATTAAAAAGTGGTGACAGCTAAATCTTAGAATTTTATCATTATACCACATTTAAAATATAAATGGATGCAAATGAGAAATATATATGCATGGGGCTGAAATTGTGGCACAGATAAATTTTTTTAATGAATAATCATTTGCCAAATGTTTACTGTCATTCTTAGAGTTTTAATTTAACTACTTAATTAAAGCATTTTAGAAAAAAAACTAGGTAGAATGACAATGGCTGGTTTGTACAAACCTGTAACAGTTCAAAATGGACCAATTTTGAGATGCTATTGCAAAACATAGTATACGTTCCATATTTGGCATTATGTCCCATGGAATCAAATCGTTCATCACCTGACCATGTCACGTCGTTAAGATTTTGCAATCTTTTGATCAGATCACTTTGGTACTTTTTCCATTGCATGATAACAGAAGAAAACAGCAACTTGCTCTGATGGTAAAAGTATGTCCTTGGAGAAATGGCAGATAAACCCATATGCTTGAAGTATTTGGCTTATTTGAACTTCAGACATGAGAATACCAAAGCTCATCATCACATTTCTCGCAGGATCCTTCCCAAAAATAAATGGTTGGCTGTCCAATTTGTAAACCTTGCTACAGGTAAGACAGTCCTGCACAACTGTTACCATTGAGCCTCTTGCCAGCACTTGAACTTTTGGTTGTTCATGTTTGCAATTAAAACAGAATAGGCTGAATATCTGCACAAGCATGCTGTAGAAAACAACAAATTTTGTCACTGCCCCAATATTCATCCTCAGGCCCTGTGTCACTGTCAACCCTAGAATAAAAATATCATCAAATTATCTTCTACCCTGTTTTTAGACAACAATTGTAGTTCATTGCTGATATGATAAATGGAAAATTAGATATAAACTGAAAGGAAAGTGAATCTTGGGAAGTTAATCTACTTACCAAACTTTGTTATTTTTTGATTCATCAAACTCTTTATCATCATCAGTATCATCAACATCCGAATCATTCTCATCATCTGTAGAAAGAGCTGAAGTTTCTAAGGCCCAGGTTAAACGTCGTGCTTCTCATGCGCCGAACCTAATTGCTGAATTAAGTACATGAGAAGCTAGACGTTTAACTTAATTAAGTTCGACAGAATCGATTAAGTTCGACAGAACGTCTCTGGCTCGACTTGTTCTGCCGTGCCGCACGGCAGTAGCACGACACCAAGTTAAACGTCGTGCTTCTCATGTGCCAAACCTAACGCATAAATTATTTTTAATTATTTTGAACGTTAAAACGAGGTTAGGCATGCGCAGATGAGATAGGAAAAAGGCGCCAACATCCTTATGATCATAATACCATGAATCACATGGCTGGCAGCAGTTCTGCTTATAACAGCTTCATGCAAGAACTGAATAGTGTCAATGAGACATCTGAGAAAACTTTCACGAAATTGTGATGTTGAGTTATGAAAACTTTATTATCTAACAAAATACTCTTAAAAGTTAATATCTTAAAGGTTAATATCTTAAAAGTCAAATTGGAACCATAACTGTTAACAAAGAATAATGAAAAGTCACTGTGTTCAACTCTGTGTTTTCATCTATGATCATTTCTTAGAAGTCTCAGCTAATTCTTATGCCAATTTGGACTCAAGAGTCTTCCTTATTTGAACTGCCTTGTTATCACGTGCATCAAAAATCTTTCTGCTGGTACTCATGAGAAGAAGGTCACGGATTGTTGCTCTGTCTCTTCTTTGACTGCTTTGTGGGTCAATTGATACATCAAGCTTTGAAGGCAGAGTGTCTCCACAATCAAGGCAAATATTATGTAAAACTAAACAGGCTAAGGTAGCAACTTTGATTTCGTAGACATTGCCCTCAGACTTTCGCAACAAGAACCGCCATCTTCCTTTAAGCTGGCCAAATGCTCCCTCAATGACCATACGGGCACGACTCAGTCTGTAGTTGAAATAGCGTTGTTCACAAAACAGCATTGGTGTAAGGTTTCATTAAAAATGATTCAAAGGGGAAGGCAGAATCTCCAAGAATAAGAGGGGGGGTTTTAACAGCATCTATTTGTTGGCAGATCTCTGGAATCATTTTTCCATCTTTTATCTTCTTCCACAAAGAGGTTGATTGCAAAATGATTGAGTCATGGGAATTCCCAGGGAAGCCACAACTTCCCCAAATGAAACGATATTTAGCATCCACTAATGCCATTAAAACAATTGAATAGAAGTTCTTGAAATTGTGATATTCTTTTCGAGAACTTTGGCCACCAGGTGGGCATTTAATGGGGATGTGGCATCCATCAACAGCTGCCCAACTACAGGGAAACTGCCAAAGCTCTTCCATATCTAATATCTTGCTCTGGAATTCATCTTCAGTTTTTGGCATATTATTAGATACGAATTGTTCCCAAAGACAGAAAACAATTACTTGGGTGACCTCGTTGACAATCCTTGTGACTGTTGAACGTGCTAGGCCTACCATTTCCCCTATGCTGTAAAGATAATCCCCTCTACCAAGACGATAGAGACAGATTGCCAAACGAAGTTCTGGAGAGATGGGTTCTTCAGTAAGCGTTTGTCTCTCAAGTTGCGGTCTTATTCTTGTCAGTATAAATTCAAATGTCGATCTTGATACTCTTAGTGTTTGCTTGAATCGTTTATCGTCGTAGGTAAACCACAGTTTCTCCCACCAACCTGTATTTCTTGGCAACCTTCTGCATGACCTAACCCTAGCCCGTGATGTTGTCAACTCGCCAAATAAATACGTAGCTGGCAGCAGAAACGACCTCAATGTCAGTGGCCTCTGTTGTAGAATAATGGCCATTCCTTTAATCAACAAATTTTGACGCTTACGACGCTTTGAAATTAAACTTTTCAACAGTAAGGTTTTCGCTCTGCGAGTTAAGGCCATTTTGAAAAATTATGTTGATCTTTAATCGATGGCTGTTGCTTGGATACCGCCCCGACCGTAATTTTCTGCGCAATAGGTTCGACCATGGTTCGACGTTTAACTTGGCGGCCGCGATAACGTCGCGCTTCTGGTGAACTCAATTGTATTAGGTTCGGCACATGAGAAGCACGACGTTTAACCTGGGCCTAATTCATGGTAATCCATATCCTCCATGTTAATGTCTTCTGTGGCATCCATGCATGCCTCATCATAATAGTCTTCTTGCTCATGCTATATGTAACAGACAATTTAATTTTTTTCACATTTTATACACAGTTGTTAATGATGTGGGTACAATTAAAAAATTGTCCACTTCTTGTTAATGGCAACTAGTACTTTATAAAATCTGAAAAACTGTCCAGTTATAAAAAAAACAAAAATCAAAGATATGATGACAGGAACCTCAGAAGGAGGGCTAGGGGGGCTTTACCCCCATCCCCCAATAATTTCCAAAATGTACCTGAAACTATACAGAAATGCCTTGATCTTGGTTTTTAGCATGCTTAGCCTCCCAACAAGGTTTTAGCCCCCTCAATCTGAAATATGCTCCATGGGCCTTGTATGCTGGAGCATCTTACCCCATTCCCTTTGATAGTTTATGAGTATGCATTTAAATTACAGATACATCCAATTAAAACTGGAAAGAGAAAGAGGTGAAGTGTTTTCAGTAAAGTACAAAAGTTGTGCGAAAGGGTAATTCTATATTCAATGGCACCTCTGCTTTGAGGTTCAGATTGCGATCCCTTCATTATGTCTAGCATTACAGGCCTACCTAAGCATTGTCGTTTGAGATGTCAGCAGCCAGTTTATTTTCTTTCATTTTCTTTCTCAGCCGCCACAGTGCTTTGCGCGAATTTAGTAACTTTTTTTTCAAAACACTGCAGCCTTGACACACATAGATTAAAGAAGTAGGCGGGGCAGGGACCTCGTCGTTATCACTACTAGCGGCTGTTGCCAATGAATCCTTACTCGCATCTGTTGCTGCTAATGAATGCCGTAGTATCTTGAATAAAAAATTAGGAATTTTAAAATTTAATCTAACTTTGATTTAACTCGCTATAATTCAGTTGAACAATACTTTAGCCAAACAACCAGTGAAAAAAAACCGAGTAGAGTTTGTTTACATTTGCAAATGAATGAGTCTCACCTGTCTGGTACTCCGGGCAGAGGCCTCTTCGCTAATTTTTTCAACAGAATTTGTGATGTCAACAGTAGGAACAGCGTCAAACTTTAATTTGTTCCTTATGCCAAGTTCTTTTGCGATATCTTTATTCATCGCGAAGCAGTTATCTTCAAAATGAACAGAGCAGAGGATCAATGATGACGAAGGGTGCCACTTCAGCCTGTGCCGGCGAACAAAGCTTACCAACTTCAGTACCTTCCCAAATCCGAATTTTTATCAGGAAAAGTGTCTATAGAAGCCCCTTCCATAAACTGTGTGTTTTTGCAGCTCTGGCCTCCAGGTCCTCCTGCAACACAAGATCTTCCGCCGCGTTTTGTACTAGGTTTCTTGTTCCCGCTATTAGACACCATTGTGATATCTCTGCTTGATCATAACTGTGACGTCACAGAAAGACAATTTTTTTCACACGAAAACTATCAAAGTCGCGAACTTTGAGGCACCATAACTTTAAACTGAGAAACCATATAGAGGTTCTGTTTTCAGTTTTGTACTCAGCTGATTGTCAATAATTGAAAAAGGAAATAAAATTTTGGACCATTTTTTCATTGCAGTAGCCCTTTAAGACGAAAGTTCAGGTCATCTTAGATATGATTTTGATCAGATAAAATCACACACAGGACATGAGAACAAGAAATTTTGTTATTTTCAAGGAATATTCTCTATTGAATGATATATTAAACCTTCAAAATGCAAATTTAAACAAGTAGCCAAGATACTCTAACTTTTAGAATAAAATGTTTTACAATCAATCAACATTAAATTAGAGTTCAATAATCTTGTTAAATAAACCTTGATCTTTTGTAGCATATTCATTCAGGTCATCTTTTTGGCTCAGCTCTGTAGATACCCGTGGACCATTAAACAATTGGCTAGATTGGTGCTGGGCCCTTTGTGTCCAGCAGCCTGATTGCCCAAAGTGGTTCATTCCAGTGGATGCCTGAAAACCAGATGACATCCATTCGTTAGGTTGTGAATAGTTCATAGCCCCATGATCCTGTCCTAAATAACCCATTTGAGCTTGGATTATCACATTACTAATCTGATTTTGTGCTATCTTTCTGGTAGTTGGATCCATCTCAAGAAGACTCTCTGTCACAAAATTGCCAAACATGGCTGCAGCACAATTCTTTCCTCCCTACTTTTTTATTAGCCCTCTGCAAAATTGACTGTGTCAAAACTTTTATGAGGTCAGCGTCATCTTCATTCTTCCTCTTCCTTGAATTCTTTGTTACACCTGTAACTGCTACAATTTCATCTTTATTTGAGGGCTTTGGCTTTGCTGACTCTTGTGTTTTCAGAACTATTAGAGGACTCAAAGTCTTCCTGATCTGGACACAAGAAACCAGTTTCTTCATCCACCTGGTTATTTGCAGCTAAACTATTAGCATCTTCGTGATCGTCCTAAAACGAAATAAATTGACAAAGTCGAGATGATATCAGATTCTTTTTTTACTTTTTCAGACACCCTGTTCTTCAGCAGAATGGCTCAATATATCAGCTGAATTTGAGTTGAAGTGGAAATACTCATGCTGTGTTGGGGCAATTGATGGCAAACATATTGCCATTCAGCAGCCTGACAAAAGTGGCTCAGAATTCTTTAACTATAAACATTTTAATAGTGTGTTGCGATTAGCATTGGTAGATGCCAATTATAAGTTTTTATATGTTGATGTGGGGGCAGCAGGGCGTGCAGGAGATGCTGGAATGTTTAATAACTCAACATTAAAAGAAGCATTACTTAACAGGTCTCTTCATACACCACTGCCCAGAAAAATAATGGAAAGCTGTATCCATTATCATATTATTGGAGATGATGCATTGCCAATGAGCTTGGCTCTCATGAAACCATACCCTCACAGGCATTTGGAAAAGGAGAAGCGAATCTACAACTAAAGACTGTCAAGGGCAAGAGGAGTAGTTCAATTTCAATTCAATTTTAAGTGTATTCTAAGCTTAATTACAATATACTGATCTAGTCAAACAATTTATCAAGATACAATTCCAGTTATACTTCAATACATACAAGGTTAAGATATTTAAAATAATTATTTGTATCTATAAAGTTATAGCTGAATGACACATGGAAATAACCCATAGGGGCTTTTGAGTCATGTGCCATCTTACATGAATTTTACCCGAAGTAATTATAAATCAATACACAATATTAATAAACAACAATAACATTTTTTTTAAAACTTTGATCAAAAATTTTTAAAAATTAAAAAGTTGGTTTCGAATATGATAGTTGAAACGTTACTCTAATCTATTTGTTTGTGGGAAAGGGGGAGGGGAATTAAAAAGGGGATAAAAAAGGTGGTGGAATGCTTTTAAACTTTGTTAGAGTTCTTGTTTTTCTTTGTGTGCCAATAATAAAGTATATGTAGTGGAAGGGGGTACTAGTATATTGAAATCATAAATTTTTTCAAGGCTTTAGCAAAAGTTGTTTTTGATCCTGATTGTCTGATGTCTTGTGGAATGGAGTTCCAAACATCTACACCAACATTTTTTATTCAAAATTTCCTGAGCTAGCATATCTTGTTTTGTAATTATGAGTATTTTTGGCTTTTTTGAAGAGTTTACTGATAGAAGTTTCGGCTATACTTTTGTTAATATCATACATAAATTTAGCACACTTTAGTTTGTAACAGTCTTCAAAATTTAAAGTGTTTAGGCATTTAAAAATTGGTTTACTATGTTCGGCTTTATTTTTAAATGTTTTAAGACGTACAGCTTTTTTAAACTTTTTATGTAGTGGATCTAGGGCAGTTTTAGAGGCACTACCCCAGTTTAAGAGCCCATAAAGAATGTTTGGTAATACAAGAGCATTATATTTGTCAAGAAATATTTTTTGCGGTGCAGAATGTCTTACTTTACTTAGGATCCCAATGCTTTTTGAGATTTTTGTATTTACATTTTGAATGTGAGATTTCCAACTTAAATTTCTATCAATAAGAACACCAAGATATTTAACTTCTACTTCTTTTATTGGTTCATTATTTATTTTTAGTTCAATCTTTTTGTTTGATTTTCTTTGAGAAGGGTTTATGAACAAAAAATTAGATATGTTGAGGTTTAATGTTAGCTTATTAGCTTATTAGCAATCTGAGACGTGTTTGAGTTCTTTATTTATTATATTTTCTAAGTTATCAGCGTCTTTATCAGAAAGAAAGATACTAGAATCATCAGCAAATAAATGAAAGTTTAATATACTGGAAGAGAATCGGATATCATTTATAAAAAGTAAGAATAACAGAGGTTCGAGAACGCTGCCTTGAGGAACACCATATTTTATTTCACGGTCTTCTGACAGTTCTCCATTAGTGCTTACACTTTGCGTTCTGTCACTTAGGTATGATTTGAACCACTCTAGTGCAGTTCCTCTGATACCATAGTAATCTAGTTTCTTGATCAGTATTTTGTGGTCCACAGTGTCAAACGCTTTAGCAAAATCCAAAAAGACGCAGCAAGATAATTCTTTTTTTTTCAATTGCGTTTACAATTTTTGTAGACATATCTAGAATTGCAAGAGAAGTTGATTTGCCTTTTTGAAAGCCAAATTGATGCTCATAAATAATTTTGTTTTCCTCTATAAAGCTTATGAGTCTTTTGTACATTAATTTTTCACATATTTTGTAAAAAGAAGGCAATAATGAGATGGACCTATAATTTGAAACTTCATTTGGACATTTCGATTTGTATATAGGAATTACCTTAGCATATTTAAGAAGTTTAGGATAATAGCCAGAGCTAAAAGAGGCATTTATAAGATAGGTTAGCGGAGTTAATATAGACTCTGAGCTCAATTTAATTAGTTTAGGGGGCAGATCATATGAATCTGCAGATTTTGTTTCATCTAAATTATTGATCATTGATTGTACCTCCGTTGAAACAACTGGAGTAATGAAAAATGATTTTGAAGTCGGATTTTTTAGGTAATTATTGTAATTTGCTGTTGTGGTTCCAAGCTTGTCCACAAGGTTACTTGCTATGCTTGTAAAGTATCTGTTAAAATGGTTGGAAATAATTTTATTATCATTGGCCACCGGGGGTTTCTGCAGGATATGAGGGTTAGTATAATTGATAGGCTTACTGGGGGGAATAGGATGCGAGAAAGCTTCTGGCAGTATAAGCTAGACAGTTTTTCTCCAAAGGGCTTAAACACTAGGCATGTTGATACATAGATTTTAGGCTATTTCTTTGCATACGTTTCTTTTTTCTTTTCTTTCTTTTTTATTATTTTTTTTCCTTTTTCTTCCCTCCTGCCACTAGCAGATGTTTTTTCACGTTCTTTGCGCATCTATTATTCTTCTTAAACAGGTGTTCTTCTCTGCTACACATATCATTTTAGCCTCCGTGACACTTGCATTGCTGCCTACTTTAGCAGCACCTTCCATGGCAAGAAAAGCTGACGTTTCCTTATAGTTTTAGTTGAAGAAATTGCTCAGAAACGAACAATTCCTACCATTGTCACCAAAAAAAATTTGTAAGAAACTTAAAATTTCTGAAGCAGTTTCCGACATCATAAATCAGCAGAAAGGTACACTTCCGTTTCCACCAAGTGCCACATCAGAAACGTTGGCGTTTCTTACAACAGAAACGATAAGAAATCTAACATCTCCTATGCCATATTTACAGAATAAATTTACGTTTCCAAAAAACCCCAGTTTCTTACTTACAGAAAACTTCTGAAATTTAATTTTTTTATAGGCAAATGATACAGAATAAATTGAAATTTCCAAGAAATTCTAGTTTCTTACCTACGGAAACGGCTCAGAAATCTATCTTTTTTATGCAAATGATACTGAATAAATCCGAGTTTCTATAAAACCCTATTTCTATTATCCTTTTTTTACCTTTGGAAACGGCTCAGAAATTTCAGCTTTATCTTATAAACAAAATATCATATTTATTAAAAAAGATGGGCAGGTTGAGAAAATATCAGATAAATTTAAAAAAAGATGTATCAAACTCATTTCCTTGAAAATGATCAGAACATTTAATGGAGAAGAAACCAATAATACTACTAGCAATAAAATAAGTTTATATTTTATACAACTACGGATAAGAAGAGTGGACTGACATGACATGTTTGGACTGTAGTTGCCAAGTTAAGATAAATCAAAACCAATAGATGAAACTATTAAAAATAAAATGATGGAATAAACCTATTTGATTAAGTTCTTATTATAGAAAGAGTTCTTAAAATTTACCCATAAATATGTTAGCATAGGAAGGTGCGCATACTGTGCCCATTGCACATCCTTTGATCTGTAGAAAGTTTTTGCTATTGAAAGAGAAGTTATTACTTGTCAGGATGAGGGTTAGGAATTTGGTAATCACTTCAGGATCTGTTTGTAGGTTACGTTTGTTTATGGGCTCTTGTAAGGTTTGTCTAACTGGTAGTACCCCTTCGTTAGTTGGAATATTGATGTACAGTGATCTAACATCCATAGATATTAAAAATGTATTATTTGGGACTTCATTTATGTTGTTGAGTTTGATGATAAAGTCATTAGTGTCTTTGACGTAGGAAGTTAATCGCCCAGCAATTGGTTGTAAATGATAGTTAATATACGAGGAAATTTTGCTAGAATGACAATCTATAGAACTGATGACTGGTCTTCCTGGGTTTCCTTTTTTGTGAATTTTTGGGAGTAAATAAAATCTTGGTGTCTTTGGCTTTTTCAATATGAGTCCTTCTCCTATTTTTTTTAATAAGTTGTTTTCTCCTACATTTTCACAAGCTTTATAACATCGAAACAGGTAAAAAGGCATAGAAAATATTTATCAGAATATATGAGAATACATAATAAAGACCCCACAAAATTTTCCCCTAAAACGTCCTTACAGGTAAGGCAAGGGTAACGCATTGATAAAAGTTACAATTTGTATTTACTAAGCAGCTTGCATACTTAGAATAAAAATAGCTGCATCTAAATCTACAGCAGGAGTTAATTAAAGATGGAAAAATATTAAATGTGTACCATGATTCCAATTCTGGGAGTCTGACTGTGTACATGCTGTGTCACGACTTTGTTTTCATCACTTCTGTAGGCCCACAAAGCTACGGCTTCCTGTTCCAGCTCTTTCCTCGTGTATAACTAATCAAAATCGATACTTAAGTTGTTCTCCAGAAACAATGAACAACTAACGGCCTCTAGTCGATGGAAAATAACTGAGAGTACCATTACTTTAAGTGCTGAATTGGCGAATTGCCGTCGTTCTATTCGGTTTGAGGTGAGACTATCTGTAATACACTGTGACGTCCAATATACATCACAGTGTCACCAAACCGAAACATTTTTGCAGGTTTATTCAATTAAATTGTTGAAAGGCAAGAGCTTATATCTGACAAACTATGGAGAATTTTGAAAAACGTATATTAAATTCTTGATCAGTGGGATTGAATCCTTTAGATTAGTCAGTAAAATGCAATTGCAAATTTTGGCTGGAGAGGCCCTCTCAATGTAGCTGCACGTAAAAGATACTTCAAGAAAATAGCTGTTATAAAGAACTAAAATATTTAGGATATCGCAGCAGCGTGATAGAGTTTAGACCCACAGCATTATCTGCCAGTAACGTACCTTGAAATAGTGAACTACTTCGTTTTTAGCTCAAGTCCATTTTACTCAATGAAGGAGTTCAAAAACTGCAAAAGTTTGAAATTCTATGGACGATTTGTTTCTGGATGGGTACGAAAAGTCAAAGTCTTGTTGTTTCATGGCAGCTTAGACCAACCAAAATCGATTCTTGCTGTACGTGCCAAAGTCAACCACGGCCAGTGAATGAGTGAGTGGCCAGTTTATGGATGGGTTATTTCTAGTGAAGAAGGCAAAGTTATTTCTGGTCATTGCACATGCATGGCAGGACATGGAGAGACATGCTCTCATGTTGCTTCAATTCTTTTTTATGATGAGGCAGCTGTGCGAGTGAGGGAGACGGCAACAGTAACTCAGGAAGCAGCCTTTTGGAAACTTCCATCTGCTAAAAGGCCTGTTCTGTATGCTCCAGGGAAAGAAAAGGACTTCACAACAGCTTCACAAATAAAGAGGCAGTTAGATGCCGATATTGAAAGTAATGTTGCAGCTGGATCAAGTTCATCAGTCCCTATACCTATCGAAGTTGGTAAACAAATCAGATATGCAATGTTTCAATTACTTCTTGAATAGCATATAAAGATAAAAACCAGCTTTGCTATCTGTATATCCTGGGTATGCTGAGAAATATGTCCCAAATGTCCTTCAAGAAAGATATACTGCTATATTAACAGAGTTTTTTGACTTCATGATGATGAGTTTACCTTTACCAGAGTTTTATAAAAGTTTGCAGCAGCATATCAATGAATAAAGCTCTCTCAAAAAGTCAAGCAGAGATGGCTGATAAAGAAACCAAAAACCAGTCAAGATCAATAGAATGCTTCTCACTAAAAAAATTAAATCCAAGCACAGATGGCTGTAGCCCAGACTAACTCGTGTGACTTTTTTGTTTGGACTCCAGTTTAGAGTCACCTAGAGAATGTGCCTTGCCATGAAGAATTTTGGCAGAAAAATATTCAGAAAAGTTATAATGCCAGAATTATTTGGCTAGTCTTTCTTATAGACATTATTATTCTAAGCATTATGTTATATAGATATTTTAAGAACAGTTGGCTTTCTGTTGTCCTGTGACTTTGAATGTTACATCCCTTGTCAGTTTTTAAGAGCGATATTAATAAACCATACATTGTATCACGGAAAAATAGCCTGAAGGCAGAATAGACATGACTGTTGCAGAACACTTTCTTTGGTTTCTTCTATATTTTGAAAGAAACTTTGTTTAAAGCATGGAAGAAAATAAGATAGGTGCTGCATCAAAAAACACATCACTCTTGATGCTTTTGACAAATTTCAACCGTCTAAAAGGAACCAAAAGCCTACTGGAAGTTGTAGTTATCTTTAATTAGTAGAGGCAATCAAACATAATTTGTTTTAGAATTTGCTTTGAGACGCA